AAGACCTGACACATCTAAAACGAGACGACTGCTAGAAACAACAGAGGGACGACGAATATCAGGGAGAATCCTGTTGGATAGGGAGAGAAGCGAAAACATAAGAAGAGCATGCAATATAGAAGACATAAATGGATGGGTGACAAAACGAAAACAGGAGCGCAACCAACATATTACCAGTAGAATGGCAGAGGATAGAATAGTACGAATAGCACGAGATAAGTCACCAAATGGACGAAGGAGTATTGGCAGACCAAGAAAAAGATGGTGCGACAATTTAAACAATTTAGGAGGCTAATATTGAAGAAGAAACAGGCTTTAAAGCCTACATACTAGAAGGAAGAAGAAGAAGAATTAAATAGTTATAGCTGATGAGTAATAAACAATTTTGAATTATTAATTTAAAATTGAAAAGTTTCCTATTAATGTTACATAATGATACTAGCAAAACATAGGCGTTACGTTCAGTTTTTAAGAGGTCTTAATACTTTCAATAAACATATTTTTACACAACAAGAATTTTTCACAACAATATAGTTAATATGGAAAAATTAATGGTTGTAAGATCTTGCAGCAAAACAGCTGTAAGATCCATAATCAGTTATGCTGTGCAAGTTTGGTAGAACAAACCAACGCAGCAAAATGCAATAACAGCCTTGCAGAAATACAAAGACTCATTTGTATAATAATCACGGGTACAATTCAATTAAACATCACGGTTGCTTCACCGCAGTTTTAAAAATAATATAAGACCTTGCCCTTCTACATACACATACAGTGTAGGTAACAGTTATTGGTCGGCAATCATATTTCCCCTTGGTAACCCCTCCATATTTCTTATTGACGTCCATTGCCCATTAGTGAGACTATTAGTTCCGATCCTAATATACGTAAGAAACTAGAGGTGGGTCGTTAACCTTTTTATCGGAACCGTTTTTCGTAAACTGTAACCAGTTGATTGTTTACCAGTAGTTTCAAATAAGCGAGTACACAAACAAACATATTGGCTATTATCATTTGTGTATAATTATTGAAGTTAAAGAAACTAACGAAGGACATATTTATTATAACTTGAAAAATAAATTAAACAATACAAATAGTACTTACATTTACATTACACATTATTAAATCGCGAATCGTCTAAATTGACATTTAAAAACATAAGTTTTTCCACTTTTCTTGTAAACCGTGTTCTTCTTTTATTTAAAATTAAACCAGATTTTGAACATGTTTTCACAAGGAACAGATTTTGTTACAATACTACAATATTTTATGAATATAGTGGTCAAGTTAGGATATACATGGCGATGGTTTTTCCACCACTGTAATGGACAGTTCCAATCTCCGTTCGAAATTTTTTGTGGGTAATATATCATCAGACAAATACATGTAGACTTCTTTTATATCTCTCGATACAGGTGTATGTTTAGGTCATGTCCAATTAATTCATCAAAAATACACCATGGACTTAAGTCATCTTTATCAGTTTCTTTTTCTTGTACAGGATTTATTTATTGTAAATATTGAAATAAGAATTATTTTTCTTAGTCAAAATTATTGACCTAGTATAAGAATAATAATTTTATTTTCAAAAAATGCACATTTGTAGAAGATGCAGCTTTTATGGTCCACTTTCTGAATATTGCAATGATTAAAACTTCTCTTGACGCATTTCTGTCCGTTTCGACTACTTCTACTACAAGTACTGACATACTGCCACCGCCACCCAAGCGTCAAAAAGTGATGGATACTTCCATTAATAAAAATATTAGTTTAGAACAAAAAAAAACAAATAGATATGGATTTACTAAACCTATGCAAAGACTCGTTTCATCCGTTTTTCATAGTTGAAGAACGAGCTTTTAAAAAGTTTGCAGGGTGGATTCCTGGATATAAACCGCCAACAAGAAAAACTTTGTAAGGTTCATTACTTCAGGAATGTTATTTTAAAGCTGATCAAAATATTAGATCACAAGTTGTTAAAGAAGTAGAAAATATCTGTATTACTACTGACCTCTGGACATCTGGAGTAACTGAGAGTTACATCGCATTAATAGGACAATTTACAATTTAAAACGGTTTTATTAGGTTGCTGCCATTTTTCTGGAAACCATAATTCAGAAAACATCGTTTTTGAAATTAGTGAAATTATTAATCAGTGGGGTATAAAACGAAAAGTAAATTTTGTAATAACTGATAATGCCTCAAATATGGTCAAAGCTGTTAAAAATGTTTTGGAATGAAAACATTTAAATTGTTTTGCTCATACGTTAAATTTATTGTTGGAGGACGCACTTAAATGCTGTCGTGTACAAATAGATAAAATAAAAAATCTTTTTTGACAATTCGGCAAAAAACACATTTCAAAAAAAGTACCTTATCTTCAGAAAGCTTTTAAAGTATCAGTTACAACATAACAAAGTTCCCAAACGGCCAATCCAAGACGTGGAAACTAGGTAGAACTTCACCTATTACATGTTAAAAAGAATGACCGAGTTAGAAGAGGCAATCCGTTCTACATTGGTATTAGTTAATACAGACTTCGACTTAGACCAAATCTAAATAATGAAGACTGGTATATTTGTTCTCAACTTTCCCAAATTTTACGGCCTTTTAAAGAAATAACAAGTACAATGAGTGGCCAAAAATACTTGAAGGGTAGTTCACTGATAGTTATGGTACGCTGCCTGCAAGAATCTTGCAATAAAATTTTAGCAAACGGTAACCTTACATTCATAGTACCTATCGGGTAGACGTAGGTATTCATATACGTAGTACAATTACTAATATCGGGTTTAGCAGAAGATTTAGAGGGATAGAACAGAGTGGCACATTGTCATTATGTATATTTATGGATTCACGATTTAAAGTGCAGGGATTTTCTGATAAAAAGGAAGCTAAAAAAACAAAAGAAAAAGTTAAGAAGCTGGTTACTTCTATAATTAAAGAACAAGAAGATTGTACTATTGAAAATCAACCAGTACTAGAAAAAGAAACCGATGAAGATGACTTAAGTCCATGGTGTATTTTTGATCAATTAATTAGACATGACTCGTCTAAACGTACACCTGTATCGAGAGTCCAATGGTGGAAAAACCATTGCCATGTATATCCTAACTTAACCACTATGTTCATAAAATATTGTAAATGTGAACACATGTTCAAAATCTGGTTTAATTTTAAATAAAAGTTATAATAAATATATCCTTAATTAGTTTCTGTCACTTCAATAAATATACACATAAACGATAATAGCAATTATGTTTGTTTATGTAGGTACTCTCTTATTTGAAACTACTGTTAAACAATCATAGTAACTTGTTTACGAAAATCGGTTTACGATAAAAACGTCAACGACCCACCTCTACTCGTTACCTCTGTCCACGCGAGACGGAGACGTTGCCAAATAATTTTGTATGAAGATTTTTTATTGTGGGATCATATGCAGTTTAATATTTTTATTGGGAATAAGGCACAATGTGACTTTAAAATAAGCTTATTTTGATGTTTAGACTTTTAATTCGGAAATCGTACTTAAAATACGAAACAATAATAAATTTTATTTATATAAAACGATTTAATGGAAATTAAAATGTTATATTACACTTATTGTAAAGTAAAATTGTGGCATATTCCCAATAAAAAACAGTAAGCTGCCATTTAAATCCATTTCGCCCAAATTTGATTATCTTAGAACATTGTTCAAATGCTAAGAAGACAACAGGTCAAATAAAACCAATAAGTTTGGCAACGTAGAATTTCCCCATTTTTATTATTTCAACTCATTCATTTTCGGCGATATAAAGGGCGGACCTAATATACCTCTTTCTTTTTAAACAAGTGTTTCTCACTCCAGCTCACGTAAGCTCCATACCGACCATAAACTTTTACCTACACTGTATATATGTAAGAACAATCGCGAAGTTCAGTTAGACTAACCCATGCTGAATCTAAAACCCGACGAGCTGACCGGGCATCTGGAGGTTTTCAGAATTGAAACAACGCAATCAACGATAGTATGTATGCAGAACAGGATTTCGAACATACAATAAACATCATCATAAAACGAACATGAGCCACTACCAAATAAGATTGCTTAAATCACAAGAGATGCCCTCGCTTATTATACAGTGTCAAAACACAAGAAGCTTGAGTCCATTTTACTGATTCCATTCAGCTGTAACTTATATTAAAGAATTTCTTTGATATATTTTATAAAAATATATCAAAGATATAAAGATATTTTCAGTGTTTCGGCACAGTGTTAAATTACATTCAACATATTTAATAAGGCTAACTTAGTTTAAATAGAAACAAGTGCAAAAACAAGTTTAAATAAAAACAAGAAACAAAGTTGCAAATTATTTCTACATGTCGGTGTTCTTAGATATTTTATGAAAAATATCAGGCGTCATCTAGTGTTCTATGAATTAGGGAAACAGAAAATGTCAATGTAGTAGAATTGCTTCTATTTAAATCAGATTACACTAGTCAGTGAATGACAAAAAGGTTTTGTATTACCCACTGATATACGAAGAGAAATATTTTTCATTCCATCTAGCAGGTCAATTTGACTAAAAATAGCAAACCAATTGTAATAGAATAATAGAATGGCTGGTTTGATGCGATGTGAATATTCCTTCTCGTATATTATTTAAAGGTTAACTTAATTCACAATTTGACATCTTGTTCTATTAAAGTAATCATGTTTAAGCTCCAACTTAGGCATTTTTTAATTTGCATTGATAACATGTAAATGTTTAATAAATGTAGTGATTCATTTATGGTTGTCGCTTGCAATTTTTTGTAGTCTACTTATATTGATTAACTTTTGTCAGTTGCTTATCTACTGACTAATTATTTAGTTATTTGGCTTGTAAATTAAATTTATTACCTTCTACTTAAAACAAATATCATTTGCACTGAAATACATAAATTACGCACGTATTTTATTTTTTGTTAAAATTTATTAGGGTTCATATAAATAAAAAAAGGTTTCTTACCCCTGTAACACTTTGGTCGTTAAAGCAGTACCAAAGATTTTTATCGAAATCTTTGATATAAGCATAATAATGACCACCTGAAGCGCTTCCAGAGTGTATCATAATACTGAATAATTCGTAGATAAATGGACCTTTGGCTTCTTCATCGTGATTGTTTCCTGAACTTACATCGATACCTGTAAGAAAGTAAATAAATATAGAATATTTTAATCTGTTGAAAAGAGAGTACAAAATTTAAGCAGAAAGTATTGGAAATAATTTTGTTTACATTTTTATAGTAGCTTAAAATATACATACAGATATTCTAACAGTGCTGCAGCCGTAGGCCCTTAGTGATGTCAAGGAAGTCGCTTTTACAATAACTTTTGTTCTAAAGTTTACCATTTTCACGGACACCGTCTATGGACGTCTATAGACACCTTACATCTACGAGTCCTCAAACGTCTCAGAGAGTGGTATTTTACATAAAAAGCTGGCCAAAACGAAAATTTCAAAAACTAGCATTTCTGAACAATTCTTGTATCCTAAGCAGGTAGTTATGTGACGTCATCTGGAAATAATCCCCCCCCCCCCCAAATAACCTAACCAGACAAATTTGACAGCTGTCACTTCCTAACACGTTTTGGCTGCGTTTAGTTGTTGAGATTTTATTACACTTTTTTGTATGATTTGTGATTCCTTTCTTTTTATAATTCAAGTGATTTTTGTAAAGAGGCAGTTATCAATATGCCAAGCGGGCAGTAAGTCCTTAATATTTAACCATTTTTTAAACATTTCCACCACTACTGTAAGTTTCTGCACCTGGAAAAGTAATTTAGGCCTGTATCTGGCGTATGTGAGTATGGACTTTTAGTCATTTATATTAGTATAACCATTACGTTACTCAGGTGTTCTCGAAGTCCATAATATCCCATTCTTGCATGCCCCTAAGAGCAATGGCTGCAAATGCAAATATAAATAATGATCGACTTTTTTTAACAAGATTTTTTTTTTCGAATAAAAAAGAACTGCGTTAGATTAATTGATATAAAATAGCATTTTTTTTATTAGCTACCTGAGGCATCCCATCTAGTTGAATCAATGCTATTATATACCTAATGAAAATCTGGTTGTTCCCGAGTCAATTTCATTGATTTTGAGAATACATCCTACACAATTTTTATCTGGTGGTCTAAACTGCCACCTATATCATAAATCTGATCACATAGTCGCAGCATGTACTAGTACTGTGAGCTCACAAACAAATGCATCCCAAACTTCAATCCAAACTAACTAAAACACTGGAAAGTGTTTTAGAAAATACTGGAGATAAACACTCATTCTGAAATATTAACTCCATTGTATACATCTCCTGTAGAAAATCCCGAAATTATATTTTGCCAACCAAAGCCAACAGTAACAAAGAAGCTAAAAGCCAACAAAACTTACAACAAATATCAGAAAACAGTTTCCGTTATATCATTCCTTGAACTACCAAAAGAGAAGATTAGGATCAGTAAACTGCAGCAAATAAAAAAAATCTAATAATATGTATTATATAGTGGCATATACCATACTTAGTTACCCACACTGTAGACTGTCCACTGTTCCAGGTTCGTTGACTGCGAACTGGATGGTAAAAGTGGCAATAGACTCATATTAATTTTTTGAAGTCGATCGATTTATACAGATTCGTATGTATGTATTCGATTTATACAGATATAATTCGTATGAAAAATGTGTAGTGTTTACGGGGCCAAGTTGATTTGTACACATTTTTTTAATGGCATAGACTATAGTAAAATTCATTAAGCGATGCAGGGAGATGTAAACATTAAATCGTGTCCGAACCTGTATAAGCTGCCGACAACGTCGGCAGAGGAAATAAAGATGGACATTTCGGTTAGTTTTTAAATATTTTTGAAGAACTGTTACTTGCATTTCTGCATAAAATATACATTAATTTTATAAATCGGATTATTTTTTCACTTACTATGTATTCAGTGATAATAATTTATTTACTATGCAATAAACACTAATAGTTGAGAAAAGAAAAAAATAATAATAAAGTGTCATAATTATACTGTTACTTATCGGAACGAGAAGACTCATTTGGAACATCTTTAACAATTATCTGATAAATTTATCCTTATTAAACTGTTTATTCGGGCTGTTGGGCCGTTGTCTTCTGTTGAGATTAGTTCTCGACGTTTCGCCAACACTAGGGGTTGGCATCTTCTGGAGATGTTGATGCTTCGCTTGTAAGCAGAAACTGACGACGCGTTGTACTACGGAGGCAATATTTATAATTCCCACTCGCCTCCCCTCCACTGGTTTCGGCTTGAGGGGGCGTGTCGTTGTTTATAGTAGCTTTTCTATCTCCGTGTTTGGCGGGAAGGGCGTTTGTGGATTTTAATACTGGTATCCATGTTTTGTTGATTTTTAGTCCTTCTTCTATCCTATTGAAATTGTTTGGGTGCTTGTATATTTCCACCGCTACACAGACGATGGCCGTGAAAGCCTAACGCAATTTATCAAATTTATCCTTGTTTATATGCCCTGCATCGCTTAATGAAATAAGGTATAGTTGTCAATCAGCGAGTTATAACATGACTAATACCTCAAACATAAAATTTTAATGACTGTAAAGTCCATAAAATATCAATGACGAAGATTGAATAATATTATTTAATTACTAGAATTAAAATAAGATACAAGTTAAATATAGCTTCTTTTCAACATTATCAGTGTGTTCAAAAAACGATATACATGATATAATTCAAAATTCTTTTTTTTTGTAGTATCTCCTCTTTATCAATATTTATATAAAAACAAGATGATGACGTTCTCAGATTTTCACAGCAAACTCTCGAGCAGCTGTCTACTCAATCCGATAGCTGCTTTGCTATGGACTGTCCAAGTTGCCCACCACATATATTGATAGTTGACACTACAAGACTATTTTGGTACTTGACAGAAACTTTACTAATGTATTATAAATTATTCTCTCATTTCCATTAGCTAAGAGACTAAGGATAATAAACGGGGTCTGTATACGAAGATAATGTAATTGTTGAGTAAAGTGATATGTTTCATCCTTATATTTTTGTATATTTATTTACATTGTATAACGCAAATTACAACTATAGGTATAACTTATAAACCACTGTATAACTGTACAACCACTAATTGTTATGGTTGCTGTGATACATTTCAATAAAAAAAGATTATAAAAATATAATGAAGAAAAATATGTAAAAAGTGAAGCTGAATTACAATTACAGTATCTGAATCATTCAACATATTTATGTTTTTGAAATCTCATAACCCAATACTTGGAATTTAAGAAAACAAAAGGTGAAAGCTTAAGAAAATGCCGTAAATGCTTGGAGTTTACAACGGCTCTCTTGGATTTGTGGTAACTCATATGCTTTCTTATATCGCCTTTGTTTGTTGGAATATGGACTTGTCTTGACAGGTAGTATAAAAATTGAATGCCTTTTGAAATGCTTTTGAGGTTAAAAAAATCCAAAGACATTGTTTCAAATAGCAATAATGATCACCAAATTTGCTAATAACGAATAAGCACAGATATAAAGAACTAAATTTTTTATTAATTATTAATCAAACCATACCTTCATCGCTATCTGCACAATTGTCGTCCTGGCCGTTAACTGTAGAAGATGCATCTGTTCCTTGACAACTTTCATCGTCTGCTGATCCCGAATCTGTTGTACTACAATCATCACACTTCACAGCATTATCTCTGTCTTCGACTGTTTCATTATCCGAGCGGGGTGTAATGATAAATGAATTTAAATTTAGTTTTTCTGAAAACACAACCCTGAAAATAAAATTAATAGTTAAACACTTTTTAAGCACAAGCACAAAAACAAGTATAAAAAATAATTTTGAAAGTTTTTATTTACTCTTAGACCAAAAAGGGTACACCCGTGAACACTTCACATAACTAGAAATATAATTACCCAGATAGATATAAAGTTTTAAGTTGTGAGGGCCAGTAATAGGATAATGCCATTAACAGTTCAGGTTCATCCTATATGTATAGTATAAAATTTTACAGTTCACAATAGTTGCACACATTGAAAAACATTCGAATAATTTGTTTAATTAAAACAAGAATCACAAAGAGCATACAGACTACAATGAAAAATATGTAGGTGGGTGAAAAAGCAAAAGACGACCATATTGACTCTTGAAACAAGACTGATATATAAATGAAGAAATATGGTTAAAAAATAAGAACGTATCTGAAAACATCAGTATTAATTAATTAACCAATATATTTTTGAAACAATAGTAAACGATTAAAAAGGTGTCTGTAAAAGAATTTTCAGTTCTAAAATACAAAATAACAAAAATTGAATTTAACGAAGGAAATATGGTATTCAATGAGGAGGCTGCTATCTAAATAATAAAGTTCTAAAATAAGCTGTACGAATCCGTTATGCCCAGTCGGAGCTGATCGTTTAAAAGTAAATGAAATGCGGGGCCAGAAGATCTTCCCGAAATAACAATTCCGTAAAAATATTTTCATTAATGCAAATGGAACAGAAAAGCACCTAAACAAAATAATCTGTGACATGCAGAAAATTTGAGAAAACATTCCACAAGAAATATCCAAAATTTTGTATAAGTATCTACTATACTATATTTCAACAGTAAGATAGAGTAACTTCTCAGAAAAGAAACTAATTTGATATGTATATTTTAGTACCGGTGCTTGTCCTACAATGGCAATATTTAAGCTTTAGCTATTGTTTTGCCGTCTATTTGGATAAAACATTTTAGAACAACGGACGATGAGATAAGTACACAGGCCACAGATGTACATCAAGCAATTACATTAATTTGTTGGGGTTCGTTTATAACCAAAATAGTTTAGTCCAGTCAATTGTAAGCGAATAAAGGGATTTGACATTACTATAGCGTGATTTTTGTGATACTTAATAATGAGTGATTTGATCGAATAATGAATCAACTTGTGATTATAGACCAGTCAAAAAATTAAAGATGACCACTTATCATGTTATCTACGTTATTATATGGAGTAGAGGCCTGGACACTTTCCGAAACTTCTTTAAGAAAACTCGAGGCTTTCGAGATGTGGTGTTACAGACGTATTTTAAGAATTTCATGGGTGGATCGTGTGACTAATGTTGAGGTCCTACGTAGAATAGGCAAGGAATGCGAGATTATTAACACCATCAAAGAGCGCAAACTAGAATATCTTGGCTATGTTATGAGGAATGAACAGAGATACGGCTTGTTGCAACTCATTCTTCAGGGCAAGGTATTTGGAAAGAGAAGACCAGGGAGAAGAAGAATATCTTGGCTTCAAAACCTGAGAAAGTGGTTTATTACATCGACAACCGGACTATTCAGAATAGCAGCAAGCAAAGTTAGGATAGCCATGTTGATCGCCAACATCAGGAACGGATAGGCACCGTAAGAAGAAGAAGACATCACGTAACGAAAAGAGTGTTATATTAAATGTTTACAATTATTTTAGGCAACAGAATCTTTTTAATACCATGGTATATGGAAAATCAACTATATATTATAAAGTGTTAAAAGAAAAAAAATCAGCTGGTATAACTTTACCCAAAAGGAGACTTTAACTTAGACCAAAATAATTAAAAATGGAGCTCGATAATCCTTTAGTTTTGTTTTTAACAAGCAAATACCAACTTTTGATAAAGTTTTTCAAGCTATGACCGATTATCCTGATTTGTCCACTATAAGTACAACTTAAAAAGTTTTACATAAATTAATCTTCAAACATTATTTGAAATAACAATTTTATGTAATCCGAAAAAATTGAATATTTGAGTCGAAAGTACCTATGAAAAAATAAAAAAAAAACAGCACAGAAAACAAGAATATTTATTATTTAGATGAAACACGGATTAGTGAAGAGCATTCTGTAGGAAAAATTTGGACAGATAAAAACATAAGAACGGCTCAACAAGCATTTTTACAAGGATAGTCAACTGTTTTAAAGGAACCAATCGGTAAGGGTCTAAGACTCATAGTTACCTATATTGGTAGTGTATTGGTAGTTAGAACAAGACATTGGACAAACTCAGTTCGGATTTAGAAATGCTCAAGGAACAAGAAAAGCATTATATGCAATAAATGTGATAATACAGAGATGTTTAGATGTAAACCAGGACATCTATGTCTGCTTCCTAGATTATAACAGGCCATTCGATACAGTGCAACATAATCCGTTAATAAAACTACTGAGAACAAAGAACATCGACACACGGAATATAAGAATAATAAATAATCTGTATTATGAAGAAGAAGCTGTCATAAGAATAAATAATTTAAAAACTAATAAAATAAAAATCAAAAGAGGTGTTAGACAGGGCTGTGTCTTGTCGCCATCACTGTTTAATACATACTCAGAAAAAATATTCAAAAAAGCATTAGAAGATGAAGTAGCAGCAGGCATAAAAATAAATGGCCTACCCATACGTGAAATTAGATATGCTGATGATCCAATACTAATAGCAGAAAATATTACAGAGTTACAAAGAATTTTAGATAAGGTTGTTGCAGCGAGTGAAGAAATTGGTCTGTCTCTAAACATAAAGAAAACTCATGGTTATATCAAAGAAATATATTACTTACATCAATTTACACGTAAATAATAAGACGATAGAACAAGTTCACAATTATAACTATTTAGGGGCAAACATTAATGAAACAAACGATTCATCATCATCATCATCATCATCATCATCATCATCATTCAGCCCATACTCGTCCACTGCTGAACATAGGCCTCCCGTAGTTCACCCCACAAATTTCTGTCCTGAGCCGCCTGCATCCAATTTTGATGTGTCCGTTTCAGGTCATCCGTCCATCTTGTTGGTGGTCGTCCTCTATTTCTAAAGGCATCTTGTCTGGGTCTCCACTCAAGAATGCGTTTTGTCCATCTGCCGTCCTTCGTTCTCGCGACGTGCCCTGCCCAGTTCCATTTTAAGGTTGATATTCTTTTGATTGCGTCGGTTACTCCCGATCTACGGCGCAATTCTGTGTTGGGTATTCGGTCTCTCAGGGTTAATCCCAACATGGACCGTTCCATTGCCCTCTGTGTTGTTCGAATTTTGTTTGCGGACGTCTTAGTAAGTGTTAGCGTCTCCGCACCATAGGTTAGAACTGGCAGCACACATTGATCGAAGACTTTTCTCTTTAAGCAGATGGGAAGGGCTGATTGGAAAACATCTCTTAGCTTTCCATAAGCTGCCCATGTCAACCCTATTCTACGTAATAGTTCATTGGTCTGGTTATCTCTACTTAAGCGAATTTCGTGTCCCAGATATTTGTATGCTGATGTTTGTTCTATACTTGTTCCAGCTATGTTGATGTTCTCACTCAGAACAAGGTTTGTCATCACTTGTGTTTTTGAGTTATTGATCTTTAAACCCACTTGTGTAGAGGCATGGTAGAGTCTTTCGCACATTTCGATGGCATGATCTATGAGGTCTGTTATCAGGACTATATCGTCCGCGAACCTGAGGTGACTAAGCTGCTCTCCATTTATGTTTATGCCCTTTTCGTCTAGGTTTGCACGCTTACACATGTATTCCAATAATGTTGTAAACAGTTTTGGCGAAATGGTGTCGCCCTGGCGAACTCCGCGATGAATTTTGAACTTGTGTGTATCTTCATGAAGTCTGACGCATGCCGTGGCATTATTATAGATATTTTTGATGACAGTGGTGTAGCGGTGATCTATTCGGCACTCTTTTAAAGCTTCTAGCATTTTCTGGTGGTTTACTGTGTCGAATGCTTTCTCATAATCCACAAAAATTAGGACGAGGGGTTTATTGTACTCTATACATTTTTCGATGAGGCTTTTAATAACTTGTAGATGGTCGTTTGTGCCGAAGCCTGACCTGACTCCTGCCTGTTCGCATGATTGATAAAAGTCCATTTTGTTCGAAAGTCTGTTTGTTATGACTTTTGTAAAAAGCTTGTATATGTGTGAGATGAGGCTGATTGGTCTATAGTTTACGAGATTTGTTAAATCTCCTTTCTTAAACATTAAAATGATCACTGCATTTTGCCATTGTGATGGTGTTGTTCCTCTTTCAAGGCATTCTGTGAAAAGTATGGAAAGCATTTGTATCAGTTTCTCGCCCCCTAATTTTATGGCTTCGGCAACGACCCCGTCGTCGCCAGGTGACTTGTTATTTTTCATTTGTAGGAGAGCTTTTTTGATTTCATCAACAGTAACATCTGGTATGTCTTCCGAGCCCTGGTTTAGAACCTTTGGTATGTTGTCAGTTGGAACATTTTCTTCTGTTTTGCTGTAGAGTTCGCTGTAAAATTGTCCGACAGTTTGTAGAATTTCCTGTTTATCTGTTATTATTTCGCCCTTTGTGTTTTTCAGTTTGTAAATATTTTTCTTTCCTATTTGCTGTTTCCTTCTGAAGACTTTTAAACTTTTGTTCTCTTCTATGACTTTTGATATCTCTCTGGTGTTGTAGTCTCTTATATCTTTTCTGATGTTCTTAGTGATTTGTTTGTTTAGTTGTCTCATTTTCGTTAGATTGGTTCTGTATTTATCTGTTAGTTGTCTTCTTTCCTCTAATAGAGTTTTCGTGCTTAGACTTAGTTTTTCTTCGTCTTTTTGGTTTTTTGGGCAACATTTTTCTTGTGCTTGTTTCAGAGCTTTGACTATTTTCTGATTTAGTTGTTCGATGTTTATGTTTTCTGTTTCTTCGTTTTGTAATTTTTCTTCGACCGTACGTTCAAACAGTTTTGCATTTTCAGGTGGTACCCATCTTCTAACATTTGGTTTAGGAACAAGCTTCATTCTTTCTTTTTTAACGTTAAGCATTACTTTTGTTCTTATCATTCTATGGTCGCTGCCAGCAGAGAACTTGTTGAGTACTTCCACGTCTTGTATTATATATTTTTTATCTGTAATTATAAAGTCGATTTCGTTTTTGACGGCGCCATCAGGGCTTATCCAAGTCCATTTGTTTTGGGGTTTCTTTTTAAAGAAAGAGTTCATTTGAAACATGCATTGATGATGTAGAAAGTTTAAAAGCATGTCCCCTCTTGCGTTTCTTGCCCCGTATCCGTACTTTCCTAACGCGATCTCGGCTTGGTCTTGTTTGAATCCGAGTTTTGCGTTGAAGTCGCCCATGAGAACAGTATAGTGTGTTCGTGTTCTTTGTTGTGCCTCTGCTACATCCTCATAGAATTTTTCAACTTCTTCATCTGTGTGTCCAGTTGTCGGGGCGTAGACCTGTATAACTTTTAAACTATAACGAGAGTTTAGTTTTAATATCAATAGGATGACTCTCGTGCTTATGGTCTCGATTTTTGTTATGTTGGGTATGTGTTTTTTATGTACAATGATCCCGATTCCACCGCTGGATGAATGTTCCTCTCCTCTGTAGTGGAACAGGTGTCCTGATTTCAATGTTTGTTGTTCTTCTCCTCTCCTTCTAATTTCACTAAGTCCCATTACATCCCATTTTATTGTTTTTAATTCGTTTTCCAGTTCTATTAGTTTATGATCGGTTGAGAGGGTTCTTATATTATAGGATGCAAGATGCAGTATTCTTGTGCAGTTTAGCCGTCTTGAGTGGTAGCCTGATCCATCCCGGGTATTCTTAGCACCCTCTGCTCTTAATCTTTTCTGTCCGCTACCTTGGTCAGAGATTTTTGAGCTGCCGGGGACTGAGGGCCGTGTTTGGTTTGTGTTTTGCATGTTTACGGGGGGTTTGGCCTTAAAACGCCACGCTGGCCAGACGTGTTGGCGAGTTGGGGGAGGATATAGGGAAGGAATTTGGGGTTTGGGTAGGATAATATTGGGGTTTGGGCCTGGTTTCCCCTAAGTAGGGAGTAGAGGAAAACCAGGAGCTCACGTGGGCAGGGGCGCTACCTCCCTGAAGTAAGTCTACCCTCTATCGGGATCATAGAGGGGTACCTACCCGCTACCACTTATTATTAGTAATTAACAAACGATTATACCAAAGAAATTAGAGTTAGAATAGAAAAGGCTAGAAGTGCATGCAATAATATGAAACAAATATTATGTTGTAGAGACCTCAGCCTATATCTTAGAAAACGAGTACTAAAGTGTTATGTATTTTCTGTTCTTTTGTATGATGTGGAGATATGGACTTTAAATAAACAATGTCTCAATAAATTTGAAGCATTTGAAATGTGAACATATCGAAGAATGCTGAGAATCTCCTGGACAGACAGAATAACCAATGAAGACGTACTAAGACAGATATGAATTCCTAAAACTAATAATGCACGGAAAGCTTCATGGAAAGCGCAGCATAGGTAGAAGAAGAATGTCCTGGCTGAGAAACCTCAGAGAATGGTTTGGAATGCAGCTTAACTGAACTTTTCGGGTTGTAGTGTCAAAAGTTAGAACAGCAGTGATGATTGCCAACCTTCGTGGCGAAGATGATAAGTAAAGAAGAAAAAGGTAGCGTGCATGCATTTCTCACGGAGAGTTTACTTTTGTTTGAATAAAAAAACTTGTGATTATCACGAAGTGATGAACGGAGATGTGTTTAAATAATATTTCGAACTATTGGTTACATTTATGCCTAAACAAGTTATTGTGATGGACAATGCAAGTTACCTCACCAGATTAGTGTAACGTAGAATATCTATACAAGGGAAGAAAGATGAAATTGAATCATGGTTAATTTCTAACGAACTAAACTTTGACGATACGATTACAAAAGTAGAAATATAAAAAAATATGTCATTGAGTAGATAACCAGTACACGAGGTATTGAAAGACTTCGCTTACCACCCATTCTGACTAATCTGTTTCATAAACCAATTTCGGAGGTAACGACAGAAAATTGTAAAAAAAAATTATTAATCACGTTATGCAAATTGAAAAGAACATGTGGTAACTCGATCATATTATTGATAGCAGAATAGAGCCTATAGTAATTTCTCTTGCAGCGGACGACAACTCATCTGAGACATAACACACAATAAAGGCATCATCATATCAGCCATAACATAAGGACCAGTAGAATAGTAGTAGATCAAACCAGTAAAACCAACAGAAAGAGATCCAAGCAGTCAAAACCACATTATAAGGAATGCTTTGAAAAACATTCTTAGATACGTATCCAAAAGGACCATATATGGAGAAATCAAAGAATAGATAATCAACTAGTATGAAAGGTAGCAACATAGTAGTAAACGGAAATCTATGGATTGGCATTGCACTGGACCTGGCGAGTGAAGTAGCTAGAATAGGATAGTTAAAAAAATAGGTTTAGAAGAAAAAAATATAATGGAAAATATATTACCACTATAATCAAGCGAAATCGTCTGCAGTGAGTAAGACATGTAGCCTGGGCCCCAGAATACGAAGACGGGGCAGACCAAAACTAAGGAGGATAGAAGGAGTAACACATGATGCTGAGAAGATCAGTGTTGTCAATTGGAAAGTTCAAGCAAGGGGCAGAGCAGAATGGTGCGGAAAGCTTGACATGGTCGAGGCCATTTAAGGACTATAGCAACATGATATTGATGATTAGTTTTAGATAATTACTAAATAAATCTTAACATTTTAGATATTTTCGTTTTATTTTGTTCAAATTCAAATTTTGATCAAATTTAACCTTTCATAAATATATACATAACAAAAACCTTCAACACATACTTATGAAATATATTCTTTCAATGATTCACTCATAAACATAATGAAATAAAAAGTAGTGTTTGTAAATTCTGCACGCCTATGTATTTTGGGTTTCGAAGATTAAAAATTCTGAGAAGATACTCTACCTACTTTATTTTTAAAACACACAGACGTCTTGTCCATAGCTGACAGTATTTACTTGCTTTGTAGAATTAGTGCGATTATAAATGAAATAATAAAATTTGAAATGAATCAAGTACTTACTTGTCATTGAGTTTAATTCGATGCATAGTAGTATAATCAAAATCGAATCTTTTTAAATGCAACGTGAGCAAATACGGAAACTTCGTGAACTTCAACCCTTTATGAGCGTCACATTTCTTATTGCATTTTTCGCAATGATACTGATTATTTCCGTCTAACGTCTCTGGTTGAACGAACGCTCTAAGGGCTTCTTCGACACTATTATAGGCCACCGCGTTTCCAAAGGGTCTTACCGGCAGAGGAATATCCAAAAATGTGTCTTCTCTTGATTTTTCGGTGCCACATTCCAAACATTTGACGTAATCTAACATCTTTCCTTCATAGAGGTCGTTTATCAGGTTTGCCTGTTTGGTGTCCTTGAATTTTTGTTCTAGAGCATCAAACATTACTCTAAAAATATTAAAACTGTTAATTAAAATATAGGCATCAGTAAGATAAAATTAAGCAAAAATATATAAATGAAATAAAACTCAAGAAAAGAGAAAGCGTTTTTGAGATCTATGGTCTATATATAACATGAATATGTGGTTAACGAAAATTAATGGCGAGGTGAGCAAAAGTGAAAGGATTTTTAGCGAACTTGTCCTACCGTATGAACAATTGTAAGCTCGGCATTCATTCGTGGTATATCTGCCTGTTTCGTTGCTATCGACTAACTAATTGCCGCTAATGTGTTGTTATGGATTTCATAGTTCGAAAGTTTAAAATGGATTAAACTTACCTACAGAGTTCTTGAATATCATGCTGATGCCAAGCATCACTATTTTGCCAACCGAAACTTGTGGTTAAGTCTGTTGTTTCTACGGCAGATTTTGAAGATGTCTGTAAGTTCAAAAACAATTTTTGTAACTGGTATGGTATCGATCTGGATTCGTTAACACCGTCAAATTCCCAGTTGTATAGGGCGTTCCGGAACTCTGGAGTCATGTAAAGAGCCTGCAGCAAACTATTTAGGTAGCAAGTCATGGCCTGGTTGACTAATCCTACGTAATTGGTAGATTCTATTATAATGGGCTTCAAAGAAGGACGTGTCGACGGTTTGTAGAAGTCGCTGTAATTCATCACTGTTTGGCCACTGTCACATGTGCTGCTGGAAACTTCTCCAGCTGTAGGACTAGCTGAAGCACCTATAACAGATTTAAACAATGCAGGAGAACACATAGTATTTAAGTATAGTAAAAAAAGATGAAAAGAATCTAATGATCATCAACAAAAGTTGTCCATGTTATACAGGTTTTCAGGGTCATAATAAAAATAGATAATATTCAGTCAGTCAATAAAATTCATTGAAAATAATTTTACCGAACTCATTTGTTTCATGAAAAGTATCTGCGAATAATGAATTATGTAAATTTTAAATACTAACCTCTAACTAAAGAAACATATCTTCTTTTAGGTATTGTACCCATTAGGATATATGTTATAGTAGTTGCAAAAGTAGTGGATTAGGGAATTCCTCAACAGTTTTTGCAGGTGGTTTGTATTGTATTTAAGAATAATTACGTTCGCATAAAAAAATGTTTGTTTATACTTCAAACAACTAAGCACTGGAAAAGCTGACAAATAACTTTATTACTATAATTAGAGTCATGATACTATATGACTAACAAGATAAGATATTGCGCATACTGAAGAGAGGGGAGATTGAAATCGTGACGTATAGTCGGACAATTTATAATGGCATTGTATAACGGCAACCATGTTAAAGTAAATTTGGGGTCATTCTTATTGTGTATGCTTCGCCCATGCAAATAAGTAAAAAAGTAAGATAGTTTAATAAAATTTGCTCCCGTAACAATAGAAATTGGTGCGATTCACGAGCGTATAGTTAGACAAGTTCATTGAATAGTTTGAAAGATCGGTAAACTTATCAACATTTCGCTGATCTATATATTTACGTTCTTAGAAATAATGGGAGAGAAATATGATATTCGTTCCACATTTTATATGTGCATAGTCGTGGTATGTTCGATTTCTTGGGAATATATTTATTAAATAGACTTTATTATTAACTTTAAAATAGTTTTGAGGTAAGTAAAGTAAATTTGAGGTAAGTTTATTCCTTGTATAGTATCAACGCATTAACGGCAGATACACTAAACAAAGAGAAATTTGCCAATTAACGTATTAGATTCGATTAAAAACACATAAATTAGACTAATTTACAAACAAAAAGACTTTTTCTCATTTTCAAGGAAAAACTGCAATTTTTAATAAAGGAACACACACTCAAAAATGTTTTGAATATTATCTGCAACGCCACTGAACGTTTCTAATTTGAAATTTTTTGCACTGATTTTTTTTGTCTACTACAATAATGTATTTTATTGCTTGCTTTTTGTTTCAGTAATATTCATATTGCGTTCATCAGTTTTAGAAAACCGATATTTGTAAAAATTGGTTTGCGTTTTATTCACTTTGTAGTGAACAATATGATTAGATCAGTGATATCTGAGTTCAACAGAGCTAGAATCGATACTTTGATTGAGGAAGGCCACACACAAGTCGACGTTGCTGTCCAAGTTGGAGTTAATCAGAGTGATGTATCTGCCCGGTGAAACCCCTCTATGACTGTCCCAGCTATTAGAAGAGAGCACCAGCAACATCATAATATTGTCATTTGCGATCAGACTATTAGAAACAGGTTACATTCGGCAAATTTATTTACAAGACCAATGTTTGTCCAAAACTTACGTTAGAGCAGAAAAGGACTCGAATGGAATGGGCCAATAAACATTTACAATGGCATGACAACAGATGGGGAAACGTGTTATTTTCTGATGAAACCAATTAGCCTTTTGTTGGATAATCGCCGAATTAGAATTTGGAGGAATCCAAATTGACAGGATAGACCAAGCTGTCCAAAGAGTCCCATATCAAGGTGGCTCCATAATGTTTTCGGAGGCCTTATTCTAAATAATAATGGACAAATTTATATTGATACCATTCTTAGGCCTGTTGTATGCTTGTGACGAGGAGCTGTTGGTCCAGAATTTATGTTTATGGACGAATGCGCCTCCCCATCGGACGAGACATGTGGCAGATTTTTTAGAGACAGAAGATATCGTCAGATTACAATGACCACCTTGCTCACCTGACCTCAATCTCGTTGAGCACGGATGGTATATGCTCAAAAGAAAAATTTAATCACGGCAGCCACCCCCAAGGACACTACAAGACCTTAGAATAGCAGTAATTGAAGGATTAGAGAATGGGGAACCAAGGACCAGAACTACATTAGTACACTTATAAGAAGCATGGGACATCGAATTCAGTTTTGCATTGCTGCAAGATGTGAAAATATGGCATATTAAGTATTGGTTGTCGGTCAGATAGCCAAGCGGGCTGGGCGGCCGGTTCTCATTCGCTTCACTGCGGGTGCTGTGAGTTCGATCCCCAGCTCAGTAAACAGAAAACAAAAAGGCTAACGCAGCAGTTTAAAATTTTAAATGAATCTGCGGCTTAGACTACAATATGCTGGCGTCTGATCAGCCTATGGTGGAGCAATACGGTAAGAGATAAGGGCTTGCGGCTTGGTGATACTCCTCCATAGATTCCTACCGGAAGGGCGTACACCCTAAAAACACCGGTGTATATATATATATATATATATATATATATATATATATATATATATATATATATATATATCGGAAAAAGGAGTACGACCGTCAATCCAATATATATAAGGATCACTCAGACGAGTGGTGGGTTCTTATATCGGTCTCTAGGTGGAGAAATAAAAGACAAAGTTGATAGACTACTTTATCTATTTTGAAGACGTTTCGCTTTCGAGTTTTGAAAGCATCATCAGTTCATCTAAAAAAGTACAATATGAGAACCACACAATCATGGAAACGATGTTAATTGTTACCTTAAAAAGACATGTAGCAGTCAATGTTGCTACAACGTGGCTACAAAACAAAATAGGTATAAATAACACTGGCGATCTTTTGCATGCCGCAAAAGACAGACGTTTGGCCTTAAGATAATTCGCCATTATAGGTGCACGGCAGTATAAAAAGAAGAAGATATTTTTTTACAGTAGCGGTACTGATTACCCCACTTGCATGTTTATCTGTACGCGTCTGTCTACCATATTTATAGAATACCAACTTTTCAACTAAATCATACGATACTGCAGACTCCTCTTAATGGGGGGGGGGGCATACACGTTAGGGCTTGCATGATGGTTTTAACCTTACATCCATAACCGACAGGCAAGCCCTAGCGTGTGTGTATGTGAAAAAACTGTACAGTTATCGGTGCATGTACATGCAACCGAGCAAATATGAAAATTCATATTTTATGGCGCTCAGTTTTACTTGCCTGCGAGCAGCATACCCTAGCGTGTGTGGCGTCCGGCAAGCTTGCCTGCCATAGTTCTCATAGCATCACATATTTCAGGTATTATTGGGCTCAAAGCCTGAGGTGATATAATAGCAGAATATTTGAGACACTCGTATGTTCTTCCTGTTGCAAGAAATCTTAATGTTACTGCTAGTCTCTCATGTGCTAATATTGTTTTCCTCATAGCAGTATCTTGTCTCTGTATTAACGGAGTATATATAGTTCAGCTCAACAGGCCTCAAAGGCCCAAGGCTTCAACGGTTTTCTTCCATTTCTTTCTATCTTGTGCTAAGTTTTTCCAATCTTGTACCCGCAGCGACTTCAGATCTTCTTTTGCCGACTCCAGCCATTTTCTTCGGGGGCGGCCTCTTTTTCTTTTTGTACCAGCCTCCGTGTTTATTAATTCATTGGGAACTCTTCCTTCCTTCATTCTTGCTATATGCCCGAGCCATCTTAATCTTTGAATTTTCGCGAGTCTTGTTATTTTTGGTTGTCCATATATTTGCATTATTTCTTCATTCGTTCTTCTTCGTCAGATGTTCCTCTCTTTTACACCTCCGTATATCCTTCTAAGAATTTTTCGTTCCCATCTATCTAATTTTACTTCCATATCTTTATTTAGTGTCCAGGTCTCGCTAGCATAGAGTACTGTAGGTCGGATAACTGTTGTATATATTCGTTTTTTTGCTGTTCTGGATATTATCTTCGACCTCAGTATCTTAGTCAGGCTCCCAGCACTCTTACTACCTTTGGCCATTCTTTTTATGATTTCTTGGTTCTCTTCGTTCCTATTTGTTAGTGTCACTCCCAAGTAGTCTAATTGGCTAACAACTTCAAAGTTATATTCTTTACTTGGGCTTTGTACCTTAAACGACTCTCCTAGATGATTTTCGTTTCCCCTCATCACCATATATTTTGTTTTTTCTTCGTTTATTTCTAAACCATATTCTCTGGCTATTCTTTCTATTCTAATAAAGATTTCTCTTAATTCTGCAGGTCTCCTTGTTATTAAGGTAACATCATCTGCATATGCTACACATTGATGTCTGTGATGATATATTGTGCCTCTAGTGTAGATGTTACATTCTCGTAAAATCTTCTCTAAGATCAAATTGAAAAAATCTGTTGATAACGGATCACCTTGTCGCAGACCTCTATTGCTGATAAAACTATCCGAAACCCGTCCTTCTAACATGACTTTACTTTTAGTATCATTGAGTATGCATTTAGTCAGTCTTACTATTTTTGGTGGAAATTCAAAATATTCTAGTGCTTCATATACTTTATTTCTTTTTATAGTATCATATGCCATTCTAAAATCAATAAACAGCATGTGTACTGTTAGGTTGAATTCATATGAGCTAGCTAAAATTTGTTTCATTGTAAAAATTTGGTCAGTTACCGATCTGTTTGCTCTGAAACCTGCTTGATATTCACCTAGACAATTTTCAACTTTTGTTTTAATTTTATTTCTAATTGATATGGCCAAAATCTTATACACTGTATCTTGTAGAGCTATTCCCCTGTAATTTTTACATTCTGTAACGTCTCCTTTTTTATGCACTGGACATAAGACTGCTTCTTTCCACTGATTGGGTATTTTTTCTTTGATCCACACTTCGCGTAATAACTCAGCGATTTCTTCTTGTACCATTTCGCCACCTTCTTTTAAAAACTCAGCAATGATACCATTTTCACCAGGTGCTTTGTTGTTTTTTAAGTTTTTTATGATCTCTATAATTTCTTCCTTGGTAGGTACTTCTTCATTTACATCTGTGTCCCTTACTTCTTCATGTTGTAGTTGCGTTTGTTCTCTTTCATCTTGGTCGTCCGTACATAATAATATGTTCTCAAAATAACTGGCCCACCTTCTTAATTTTTCATCTGTTCCACCTAACAGATTCCCCTCTTCATCTTTATAATATCTTGATGTGGTTTTGTACTGGGTTCGGTCTCGTTTTATTTCTTGGTAGAAATTCCTGACTTGTTTATGTAAAAAATCTTCTTCAATACGAAATAGTTTCTGCTCTAAACTTGAACGCTTCTTCCTTCTACAGATCTTCTTTGCTTCCCGTCTTTTTTCGGTATAAACTTTTGTACTCTCTTCATTATTTCTTATTATGCTATTTATTCTAGCTTTATTTCTGTCACTAATGGCTTTCTTACAATCCTCATCATACCAATCCGTTTGTTTACATTGTCTGTTTCTTGATAATACTGAGTCGGCTGCTTCTTGAATTTTTTCTTCTAGTTGTACCCATCTGCTTTCTATATCATTTACTGTTGTCTGGCTTTTCAGTTTCTCTTCAATTTGCTGCCTGAATTTTTTCCTAACTTCTCCCTCCTGAAGTAGTGCACCGTTATATGTTTTTATTTTTTTACAACTAGCTTTATTAATTGTGGGTATTATTTGCTCCATTTTAATTTTGACCAAAAAGTGGTCCGAATTTGCATCAGCACCTCTGTAACTTCGGCTATTTTTTATGGCTCTCATATGTTTGGCTTCTATTAGGAAATGATCTATTTGGTTTACTGTTTGTCCATCTGGTGATATCCAGGTACCTTTATGAATTTCTTTGTGATCAAAATAAGTGCTCATAATTCGCATATTGTGTTCGAAAGCAAATTCTATTACTCTTTTTCCATTCAGATTACTATCTCTATGTTTACTTTTTCCCCCTGTTATTTGTTTGTATACATCCTCCCTGCCAATCTTGGCATTCAAATCTGCTACAACTATTTTTATGTCATATGATGGTATTTTGTAAAACATATGTTCTAATTGTTCATAAAAGCTATCTTTAACGTCTTCATCTGTATTTTCTGTTGGTGCATACACATTTATAAAGGTTATTTTTCTATATTTTCCTCTTATTCTTATTTTACATAATCTGCTTGTGACTGCCTCAAAATCTATCATCAGATTGGCAAATGTTTTCTTTATAAAAAATCCCACCCCAAATACACGTTCATTGTCTCCACTGTTGAAAAACACGTAGTTCCCCACATCCATGGTGAAATTTCCTTTTTGTTTAGTTTCTTGTATAGCTGCAATATCTATCTCATATTTCTCTAACGTATCTGATAAGTTCTTTAGTGCCCCTACTTCAAAAGTTCCTCTAACATTCCATTGTCCTATCATCATCCTATTCCGCGCTTTATTCGTTTCCATATTTTCCTGACCACTGTGCCTGTGTAGACTCAGTTTTTTTTCATTTTCTCTAGTTTTTCGGTACTATGGTTCCATTTCCACCATTCATCGTTTATACATATTTTCTGATAGCCGACTTTTGTTTCATTACCTTTTCCTTTTTCTTCTCTCGTTATATCTCTTAGCTCTTTCTGTAGTTTGGCTTCGGCTTGGGTTAGATCGTTTTCAATGAAATACCGCGTTCCTCTTAATTTGCTCTTATTCTTCATAATAAGCTCTTTATCCTTCATTGTATCTACTTTTACTATCGCCACTGGTGGTTTCCCTTGAGAGGTTCTTATTTTCTGCACATCTTTTACTTTCACATTCACATTCAATTGACTTGCTATAAAGTTGGTGGCATCTTCCAGTTCCTCATTTTCTTTGAAATCGCGTCCTTTGATCACAATGTTTTGTTTCCGGATTTGTTTATCCATCTTTGTATTAACGGAGTAATCAATGATAATAGTTTCAAATAAACTTTTTCATCCATTCGTAAATGATTTTTGTAATCTGTTGGTTTAGATTATTCAGTGCGATCTCTCTTTATTTTCTTTTCTGAAGAATAAGTGTTAAGCCAAGTACAGCTATCACATCGTTGTCGTCCATTGTAGTTTAGTGGGTATATACCGCACAAAGTACCGTAGGCGTCCTGCACACACCGTCACGTAGCTTAACAGAAGATTTAATGGCAAAACTGTGCATGCAAACCCTAACGTGTATATGTAATATGGAACTCGGTTATACCTGTCGGTTATGCATGCAAGGTTAAAACCATCATGCAAACCCTAATGTGTATGGCCTCCATCCACTAAATATTTATGAATTGGCCTTGTTTCTATTGGTTTAAACTTGTAATTTCTATAATGAGTATACATAATAGATCACAATGCAACGTAAAAATAAATTGTTTTGGTTTTGAAGAATATTTGCTTGTATCTCTTTGATTTTTTTTATGTTTCTATATTTATATTTACATTTACATAAGGTTTACTTTGTTATACTATATAGCCTGTACTTAACAGTTCTATTTATTATGCCATGCGTATGGAATAAATTCATTTTTAGCGTTATTATGTACTATGTAAAAAAACCTGAAACCGGTCGATTTTTATTCTTAAATTGACAATTCCTAGTATAAAAATATTATCCCCCTCCAGCACCCCCTTTGAAATATAGGCATCCCCTCGAAAATTTTAAATAACAAAGTGGGTCGTGTGACATCTTGTTAGAAACGGATTTTAGTCCTCTGTTTAGCAATATAAAGTTTTTTAAATTTGCTGCAATCATAACTGAGAAAAGTTATTTTTAAGATGTAAAATTTTGATAATGTCTCTATCACAAAAATTTAGGTTGAATGACGATAATAATGTCACATAATATTTAGAATGTATTTTTCAATGTACTTTACAATTACCATTGACTTCTTGACAATAACCGAGACGATTTTGGAATTCTCGTACAACATTTTTATGACCTCGGGGGTTATTTTGTTAATTTCTTCAGATATACTAAGTTTTAAATCAGCCATATTGCCTGGTCTATTAAAATGTACCTTAGAAATAATCAGGTATTTTCGTATCTGTTCTGCTTAACATTATTAAAGTTAATAAAATATTAGTCAAAAAGCCAAATAAACAATTGATACGATTCTAGTAGGCTGCTGTCATTTAGGCATTTAAAGTTACGCTACGTCTACTATAATATTTGTGTGCGTATTAAATTTAATTATGGCTCATTTGTCCGCGACTCAAAGAATAGACATTTTAATTATGATTGGTTGTGGTATTAAAACAAGAATTCAAAAAGAGGTTTGAGAAATGTTTAATAATAAATCCCCTATTCAAAGTGTCGCAGTCTACAGTTGGCAAAATTAAAAAGAAGTTTCGTTATACTGGACATGTAAAAAATATTGAAAAACCAGGTAGAAATGTTAAATTTACTGATGAAAAAAAGTTAGATATACTTCTAGAGATTGAGAAAAATCGGCCATAAGACAACTCGAGAACTTGCCGCCGTCAATGATGTAAGTAAATCATCTATTTTGAGAGTTTTGCATAAAGAAAAATATCACATTTACAAAGTTCAGTTAATTCAGTTAAATAAAGCTGATACTGACAGAATGAAAGAATTCTATGAAATGATGATAGACAAAATGAACGCAGATTTGCGGTTCATAAACAAAATAGTATTTTCTGATGAAGCGCCCTTTCATTTAAACGGAACGATTAACAAATAGAACTGTAGATATTGGAGCAGAGAAAATCCTCAATGGGTGTGTGAGACCCACACGCAATATCCTAAAAAAGTTAACGTTTGTGCTGTTATCATTAACAATAAAATTATTGGTCCTTTTTTTGAGGGCATAGTTGATGGTGAGGTTTATCTAGATTTTTTCATTAACTTTTTAGTACATACATTACGAAGATTTTTTCCTGATGCTAATTATCTAAATGAGATAAATCGATCTATTTACTACTAACAAGACGGAGCTCCACCGCATTTTGGACTTTTAGTTGCAAATTTGCAGTTGCGAGAATTGCAAAATCGCCTCGGTTATTGTCCAGAAATGAATGGTGGTCATTTTGAACATTTAATTTAATTGTAAAGTACATTAAAAAATACATTCTAAATATTATGTGACATTATTATCGTCATTCAACCTAAAATTTTGTGATATGAGACATTATCAAAATTTTACATCTCAAAAATTACTGTTCTCAGTTATGATTGCACCAAACTTAAAAAACTTTATATTGCTGAACAGAGGACTAAAATCCCTTTCTAATAAGGTGTCACACGACCCCTTTGTTATTTGAAATTTTCGAGGGGGCGCTTATAATTCAAAGGGGGTGCTGGAGAGGGATAATATTTTTATACCGTAAATTGTCAATTTAAGAATAAAAATCGACCGGTTTCAGGTTTTTTTCACATAGTACATAATAACGCTTAAAATGAATTTATTCCATAAAGAAATCATATAAATTAAATATACATAGCAATCATACCCATGGTATTATTTATATTATGATTTCTGATTTGAATATTTTAAAACTGTTCAGCGAGCTAATATAGCTTAAGATCGACTTCTTAATTGATATAATATTAATAGTATTATATTATTCTTACCTAAAAGAAGGTCGTCTTCGCTTTCCTGGACGAATAACGACATTGGTTTATTTTTTAGAGTGCTTATGATAATAGAAGGTCTGTCTAAAGGAGTCCATTTGATGCCAGCTTCCTGAACCGTTTTGTCTTTGTGTTCGTTCAATATATGCTTAAACAAAGAGAACAAATATTTAAAATATATTGTTTACATATTTTCATTAAATCAATCAATATCAGTGTTGCAACAATTAGGTTTGTATAATACATTTTAAGCTCTTGGGTAATAGCTTTTCAAATCGCTACGAAATTATGTGCAACATCTATGGTGTTTTTTTTATACAATTACACTTACTTTTTTTATTTGTCAATATATGTCAATTTATCTTTTATCTTTTTATAGAAATATGAAATTTTATTATAACAACTTTTATTAAAGTTAAAGTAATGCATTGTAAAGGATGTTTTAGTAAGTTAAATAATATACTAGGACGGTCCGATAAGTACTTAGTCTACAAAAGAAAAACGAACATTTTGGAAAAGTGCGATTTATTTCTTAACAGAGTCTACTTCTAGCTCGACACAGTTGACCTAGCGATGCTCCAACTTCTTTCATGTAGAATACAAAAAAATAAATCGATTTTTTGAAAATACAATACCTATGTAACCCCTTAAAAAAATGATTTCGTGCGAGTAACTGACATTAAAAATAGCCCGTCGCTTCAAGAGTTTTTTCTGAGAGAACGTTTCAAAAGTTTTTAGGAGGAAGGCCGGGGTAGGACTGGCAAACTTTTTTTCACCTACTTTTTGGGTCTGAACTGAAGAACACAAGTTGTTTTTCATACTCTTCAAACCACCTTCGAAGAAGAATTATTGTTGTTAATATCTTTTTTGCTCATACTGAGTAGGTACCTTGAGATTTTACAACCTTTTTGCTTGCTTTGGGCCCGACGTATTAAGCCTATGATATCATAATTAATTATGTTAGCAAACGATGAATTCCCTTTTTACGTGTTTTTTGGTTAGTCTACAAAAAAAGTTCCGTATCTAGGAGAGAAAAGTTTCGTCCTTAGTTGCTAAACTCTCAGCTTAGTCAACCTAAGCCTTTTATGACCTGGCACTCATATAAATGTTAAACGCCGTGTACACTCTCGATCGAAGTGCTTTGGACGAAGTGTCGAAGTGAAGTTAACCGAGGCGAGGTGACTCTCTACATACTCGTGAAGTCGAGTAATGTAGTGTGACACTTCGTATTCGAACTTTGGACCCTTTGACTTAACGCGAAAAACCGACACAGAATGGAAGTAGAACGAGGGGAAGCGAAGTCACATGAAATACCTGTCTATACTCTCGTACAAGCTGAACTTCGATCAACTTCGCGAGTAGTATAGGGGCCGCTTTATCTTGTTGTTTACTGCCAATTTGTTAGCGATTAACCTTAGTATATATTAACCCAGACATGCCTGACGTACAATAAATTGTACACCACAAATATATTTTAACTTGATTATCTATGAGGTTCATATTTCGTAATAACAGTCTAACGCCCGCCACTCACGTTCCAACGCCGCAGTACGATTTGTCGATTTTGCTACAATTTTTTTTTTATTATTAACACATGTGCGGTGTTTGTATACTGCTATCTGGTCATTATTTTCTGACCTAAATAATAACAGCAAATACTTAAATCTAAGGGCTTTCCCTATGGCTTACTCTTATTTTATCTATCAACTAATGCACTACAACTAACATGTAATAACTTCACAGCACTATACTCTGCTTTTTACACTAAACTGTTACACATTTACACTAACTCAAATGGTTTTGTCCTAATGAGTCTTCTCTTTAGTTCAGTGTTGCCAAGAAGCTGAATTGCCTCAACTTTCACATGATTATGCAGCCTCTGCTCGTGACTTGGTGCTGTTCTCTTGATTATTTCGATCACAGTTTCAAAACCCAGGTCCTGGTGGAGGTTGCTGTTACGGATATACCAAGGACCATCAACAATGTTTCTCAGTACTTTGTTTTGAAATCTCTAGATAATATGTAGATTACTAGCTTTGGTACAGCCCCAGAGTTGGCACCCATATACCCATACTGGCCTCAGTACTTGCTTGTAGATGGATAATTTATTATGAATTGATAATGTTGATTTTTTTCCAATGAGCCAATACAATTTCTTATATCTAGTATCAAGCTTCCCACTTTTCTTTTTGACATGAACTTTCCAGCGCAGCTTCGCGTCTAGGGTGATGCCCAAGTATTTTGCTGATGTTGCATAAGGAATTCGGGTATCATTTATTCTAACTGAGAAATTTTTTTATTTGTAAAGTCTTACAATTTATCAGTCGCTTCTTCACTAGTGTCTCCTATCGCTAGTATAGCTGTATCATCCGCGAAGGTGGCAATAGTATTTTGTTCTAGCTCTGGAATGTCACACGTATACAATAGGTACAGGACCGGACCTAAGACACTCCCTTGTTGCACGCCAACTTTAATCTCTCTTAAGTCGGTGTACACTTCTTGTTTTACTCTGAAATATCTATTCGCAATGTATGATTTCAAGATTTCTGGATACTGTTTAGGCATGAACGTTCTTAGTTTATAGTTTAAACCGTCATGCCAGACTTTAACAAACGTCTGTGCTACATCCAAGAAGATTGTAGAGTAGACTTTATTTTCTTCTATGTTTTATGATGCTACAAAACTGAACGTAATTTGATCGTATACTTGCACCATTTGGCGCGATTTGACGGCAAACAAACAAGTCAGTCTGCAGCAGTACGACAGAGTTGGTTGGGTCGTAAATTTGATCGTGTATATTGTGATAACGACAAAATCGTACGACTGCAAAAAAATCATTTGCTGATAAATTTCGAAAACGGCTTATAGCTATAGGTTTTTAAGAGATTTCGTTGAAATTTATAAAGAACAGAGTGTCTTTGGAAAATAAAATCGACATTATATTATGATAAAACCGCTAGAAAAAAAAGCTGTGAATATTTTGGTTTCTAAATTTCAAGAAGTGAAAGCGGATACCAATGAAGAGTTGTTAAAAAAATTAATAATTTTCGAATATGTTACAAATGGGAATTAAAATTATCTGGATTTAATTGCAATTCTTCTAATAAATGTACTTGACAGTATGTATGTCTTTTCAGCAACCAATCTTTGCACCACCACCTACGTTTCTTGTATTTTTTTTTTTGTTTATATAAAGAGCAAGAGCCGCTAAAAGTATATCGTTATCTGACATGTTTCTGATTGGAAAGTAGAACTCATACTGCAAAATCAGTACGTGTGTATTTCCATCCGATTTTCAACATTATTGTACTACAATTGCAATCGACAAAATCATACTGCGCCGTTGGAACGTAAGTGGCGGACTTAAGCCTAAAAAATACTTTCAGTACGTGTATCAACCATAGGATTTAGTTGTAAAATGCTGGCTTTGAAATATTTGGCGATCATTTTGTGATAAAGTTGACAGTTTTTACATTATGACTAAATATGAAATACGATTTGTTAGTAAATATTTATTATATGTATGCAAAAAAATATTATTTTTGTGTTTACTTATAGAAAAAACATATATTTCAGTTTAATTTCATTTTTAATTTATAAATTGGATAAATTATTATGTTGTAACTAGCGTTAGGCCATTTGATTTTATTGTACAAAATATTGTACGATATGAAAATACCATATCATTTATTTTTAAGAGCTTTTCATTGGAGGATCCACTTAGTATGTTAGAAGATGATGAAAATTTAGTAGTAAATGTCGACAGTACTACTTTATTGCCTCCAATAAATGCATTTGATGTGCAAAATAATGACGATTATTATCCGATTCTCAAAATAATATTTCATTAACAGAGCGGGGAGAAAATCAAAGGGTCCAAGAAAAAAACAATCTACCACTGGGTAAAAGAAGACATTCAGATGGAAGACCAATGTAGCATTGAAAACGAACTTCCAGAACAACACGATTCTAAGAGTCGCCTTGAATGGTTTTCCCTTTTTTTATGAAGAACTTTACAGCTGATAACGTCAAAAACGAATCGATATGCTTCACAAAAGAATCTCCAACAAGAAGTTGGAGATTATGAAGTCAAGGTTTTCCTGGGAACTCTCATATTGAGTGGTTATATGAACATTCCCCACAGGAGAATGTTTTGGCAACGTGACAGAGGCGCTAACAATCAACTTGTGACAGAAGCTCTTACGAGATATAAATTTGAATTTATCATGTCAAATCTTCATCTGACAGATAACTGTACCTTAGAACAAGGAGATAAGTTTGTAAAAGTCAGGCCTTTGTTTGTAAACTTGAATAAGAAGTTTAAGAAGTACGGACTTTATGGTAATACATTATGTCGATATGTAGATGAAGCAATGGTTCCTTACTTCGGAAGGCATTCATGCAAACAATCTATACATGGTAAACCGATCAGATACGGTTACAAATTATTTGTTGGTACATCACGTCTTGCCATATTTACTGGTTTGAACTATACCAAAAATAATTAACTAATATTATTAAAATTTATAGATTATTGAGTCGAAGTAAGCGATGTATTGGAATATTCTGATCTGTCAAGAAAAAAATGGCCAAATGAAAAGTTAGTGTTTAATAACTTTTTTAGCTCTATTCCCCTTATGGAAAAACTAACGGAAAAAAGATTTTTAGCCACCGACACGGTTAGAGAAAACCGTTTACCAGGAGTGCTATCGCAAGATTCAAAAATTATGAAAAGAAAAAAGGGACATATGACTACAGAAAAATTGCTGATCAAAATATAATTGCACTAAAATGACATGACAATAATCTAGTAACGCTCTGTTCTAGCTCTGCAGGACTTCATCTTGTAAAACGTTATTCAAAGGAGAAGAAGACGATCCAGGTATGAAACAAAATAGACAATCTTCCTCTGTAATACTGGTAGTATTTATCATTTTAGGTAGAACAATTCCATCTGGTACATGAGGAATTCTACAAAAATTCGCACCTTAACTGGAGCCAAATATGGTGATATTGCAATTTGCTGCCCGTACCCCGCAGTAACAATTTTTTTCTGTAGGTTGATACCAAAAAACATGTTTTCAGGTGCGAGCCTCAAAAAGGAAAATTTAAGTTTTTTCCAACAAAAAACTGATTTGCTTGCTAAAG